TACCAGGAAGGCTGTCCTGGGGAAGTAAAGACGGCCGGTGTAATGCTGACCACATTACCCACCTAGTCTCTGGAAAAATATGGGTGCTCTTTCCATATACCTGATGCGCCTAAGGCATGAAAAGGGATCTTTACTTTACTTTTTTTTAAATGGATGCACACGCAAAACTGAGGACTTGGTACAAAGCCAAAGTCTAAAACATGGACTAACCACCAGGGGTTTACAGCCGGTGAACGCAAACAACGACAGCACCATTACACTACATATTATCCTATCTCACTTTGTCTGCAGAGTTGCTGCCTCTCTGCTGAGAGTGTCTCAGAAAGCAGCAGTGAACTCCAGGGATCTAAAACAAGATGTTATGTTCTTGAACTGAATAACACATCTGAAAATGAACCCATGACCTTTAGAGCAGTGTTCTTCAACCCTTTAAAAAATTTTTTTATAACTTGCGGACCAGGGAAATATAAATATTTCATGGATCAGCTGATGGCTACAACATAAGCGAATACAGATGTAGATAGCATTTTATTTATTAAATACAACACAGTTACAGTTTTTAGTTAATGTAACATCTGCTGCTTAAAGGTTGGCTGGAGCTTAGTTCCTGAAAGACATTTTTCTCTATTTGGTTTCTGTTCTAGGCATTACATGAGAGAGCATTTTTTTTTTTTTAACTGCTGCGGGTCCACAAATGAGTTGAGTCAACATTGACATCACGACACTCGGGGCATTCCCATTGTGCTCTGTCCCCATCTTCAGCAGCCAGGGCAGAGTATCAGTACTAATGGTACCAGTCATAGTCTGGTTAAATGTTCGTCTTGTCTTTCCTCTGAGTACAGTGAGTCGACCAGACCCTCTGGTCACACCAAGGTGCATCATTCTCTCCAAGTCGTAATAATCTAGTTTCTCTTCTGACTTTGTTACTTGTTCCCAAAGGGCCCTGACCACATCTACCTTGTCAGCTACCTCATCATGTATCAGTTCACCACCCAGTGGTGCAGATATAGCCAATCTGTGTGCCTGATATTCCCCATCATGCCAGCATGCCTGTATAACAAAAATCTAAAGTATGCCCACTACCCGTGACCTTCCAAGTGAAGCTTGCCACTCTGCTTGAAGTAGTCCTGTCTTCACTTTTCTCAGCATGCTTTCAGAGTCTGTTACAATTATGACATGTGTGTGTATGCACATTGTTCTCTGGCCACCGGAACGCTGCAGTGACTGCCTCCACATCCATTCTCATGCTAGAGAATTACATTTTGAAAAACATGGCTTTGAAGCACCAGGCATACAGCTTGACTTGTGTTGTATATACTCTCTTGTTTTGACTGTTATATTATATTAGATATAATAAACAAACAGACAATGTATTGATTGTTGCTCATAAAAAGTAGTAGAAAGAAGTACACACTAACAACACAAAAATCAAAGTAATAGGTACCGTGCCAAGACTCGAACATTTCACCTCAAAATGACGAATGCGCCTTACTGTGGGAACAAATGTACTAAACACTTGATCAACTAGGCGCCTCTGAAAAGGTGTCTTCATCAGCCGTGTCTGTTATACAGCTTGAAATCCACAACTATGGAATACGTACAGAATTAATCTCAGATCCCTAAAGTGGTACCACAGCGAGGTGCATTCGTTGCCGCATTTACCTGGAAAGGGGGAAGCAGTAAGCATCTCAGAGAAGTGAATAAACATGTAATTTTCCTTTATTAATGTATTGGTTACCTGTGTAAAATTAGTGTTTAAATTATTTCTTTCGAGACCCTTTTTATTTATAGTGTTAACAGTTTGAAAAACTTAATTTTTCCTATTTCTTGTGTTTCATTTTTACCCAGATTCAACTTTGACAATCTTTCCTTATGTTTTGAATATGAAATTATGTGTGCCAGTTTTTTCCTTTTCAAGAGAGACTTTGCTCGAAATGTTTGCATTTGTACTTTGTTGAATATGCTAGTGACATTTTTTTGTTCCATCTTCCTTGTGTAGGTGAAGCACACAATATTCTTAGCTAGCAGTAATATAGTGTTGATTTAAGTTTTTGTGTAATACATATTCTTTCAATCTTCTCCCCAGCACTGACAACATCATTCACCTCGCACACTCATCCGGCCATATCCTATTCCTCATCCATTTACTCCAATATTCCCCACCACCACCACCACAACAAGAGCAATGGGTTCAGCAACTCTAACGACCACAGCGGTGGCAGCCGCCTACACAGCTTCTCTGACAGCTCAACCACTTCGGTTGGAACTACCCAGTTTGGCACACTCAATATGAGAAAGCGCAATGTGTATCCTCACGGAACTGAGCGCAGGGCCACATCCTGTAGTAAGTTTTCTCTGTGTTGTTATTTAAGATACTCTTTTCACACCTTGACAAGAAATCGTACATGTGGTTCTAGCCCCAGATTTTTGTAGACCAATCAGCACTAGGTGGGTGATTACTTACTTAGTCGTTCCTCTGTCCCCATGTGGGTTCCGAGGCCTCATTGTGGGGATTACAAAAATGCACCCACCGCCTCCCCAGCACAGAATGTCGTAAGAGTCGACTAATTGGGGGTCACCTTCAAAGTCGGAGTGCATCTGCCTGAGAGGCTAGGAACCAAAAATCCGCATACATATAAGTCGGATCTGTAAAACAGATGTGCACACAACACTTAGTTTCTGGAACAAGACTAAAGGCCAGAAATGGACAAACAACCAGAACTTTCCACCGGAGTTTACAGCTGGTGAACGCAAAGAAGACTATCCTTCTCTACCCTAGGGTGTAGAGGTTTGACAGAGATCGCCAGACTTCTCCATCAACAGTTTTCTTTTTGGTTTTGTTTTATTTCAGTCCTCTGTTAGTTGTTTTCTTCCCAGCGGACCCTGGGTCACCCCGGTGGTCTTGTTCTCTAGTTCTTGGCCTCCCATGCTTGCTGTGATGGTTGATTCTAAACCATCATACCTGCGACTTAGTGGGTGATGTGTAAATATTGAGCTATCCACCTTTACTGTCCAGGATATTTCCTAGTAACCACATTAAGACGGGAGGCCAGGTAAAAAAAAAAAAATGCTACCTTTATGCAAATTTCTTTTCTGTTTCCACAGTGTCTATTGCTTCATCATCTGGTCTGTTTCCACAGTGTCCATTACTTCATCATTTGGTCTGTTTCCACAGTGTCCATTGCTTCATCATCTGGTTTGATTTGATTGATTTGATTTGATTCAAGAACCGACATCACAGCACTCGGGGCATTCCCATAAGCGCTCCGTCCCCATCTTCAGCAGCCAGCGAAGAGTTCCGATACTTATGCTGCCAGTAGCATTCTGATTAAACGTTCATCTTGCCTTTCCTCTGAGCCTCGAGTATCTGCCAGAACCTCTCGTCACCCCCAACTGAATCAATCTCACCAGACTGTGGTGATCCATCTGCTCCTCCGAATTGTACACGCTCTCCCACAAGGCACTAACCACGTCTGCCCTATCATGTATCAGTATTCCACCATCAGTATTCATCATCTGGTGTGTTTCCACAGTGTTCATTGCTTCATCATCTGGTCTGTTTCCACAGTGTGCATTGCTTCATCATCTGGTCTGTTTCCACAGTGTCCATTGCTTCATCCTCTGGTCTGTTTCCACAGCGTCCATTGCTTCATCATCTGGTCTGTTTCCACAGTGTCCATTGCTTCATCATCTGGTCTGTTTCCACAGTGTCCATTGTGTCATCATCTAGACTGTTTCCACAGTGTTCATTGCTTCATCATCTGGTCTGTTTCCACAGGTCCATTGTGTCATCATCTAGACTGTTTCCACAGTGTTCATTGCTTCATCATCTGGTCAGTTTCCACAGTGTGCATTGCTTCATCATCTGGTCTGTTTCCACAGTGTCCATTGCTTCATCATCTGGTCTGTCTCCACAGCGTCCATTGCTTCATCATCTGGTCTGTTTCCACAGTGTCCATTGCTTCATCATCTGGTCTGTTTCCACAGTGTCCATTGCTTTATCATCTGGTCTGTTTCCACAGTGTGCATTGCTTCATCATCTGGTCTGTTTCCACAGTGTCCATTGCTTCATCATCTGGTCTGTTTCCACAGTGTCCATTGTTTCATCATCTGGTCTGTTTCCACAGTGTGCATTGCTTCATCATCTGGTCAGTTTCCACAGTGTCCATTGCTTCATTATCTGGTCTGTTTCCACAGTGTCCATTGCTTCATCATCTAGTCTGTTTCCACAGTGTGCATTGCTTCATCATCTGGTCTGTTTCCACAGTGTCCATTGCTTCATCATCTAGTCTGTTTCCACAGGTCCATTGCGTCATCATCTAGACTGTTTCCACAGTGTCCATTGCTTCATCATCTAGACTGTTTCCACAGTGTCCATTGCTTCATCATCTAGACTGTTTCCACAGCGTCCATTGCTTCATCATCTGGTGTGTTTCCACAGTGTCATTGCTTCATCATCTGGTCTGTTTCCACAGTGTGCATTGCTTCATCACCTGGTCTGTTTCCACAGTTTCCATTGCTTCATTATCTGGTCTGTTTCCACAGTGTCCATTGCTTCATCATCTGGTCTGTTTCCACAGTGTCCGTTGCCTCATCATCTCGTCTGTTTCCATAGTGTCCATTGCTTCATCATCTGGTCTGTTTCCACAGTGTCCATTGCTTCATCATCTGATCTGTTTCCACAGTGTCCGTTGCCTCATCATCTAGACTGTTTTCACAGTGTCCATTGCTTCATCATCTGGCTTGTTTCCACAGTGTCCATTGTGTCATCATCTGGTCTGTTTCCACCGTGTCCGTTGCCTCATCATCTGGTCTGTTTCCACAGTGTCCATTGCTTCATCATCTAGACTGTTTTCACAGTGTCCATTGCTTCATCATCTAGACTGTTTTCACAGTGTCCATTGCTTCATGATCTGGTCTGTTTTCGCAGTGTCCATTGCTTCGTCATCTTGTCTGTTTCCACAGTGTCCATTGCTTCATCATCTGGTCTGTTTCCACAGTGTCCATTGCTTCATCCAACACTTCAGTCTTGAGTGCAAACAACCAAGTCTGCCATACAGAAACCGTCGAAGTAATCCTGTTTGCGGACCACAAAGGCTTGGGGCTCACCCTCAAAGGAGGAGTCTTCTCTACGGCTCCGCTTTTGTATCCACCCACCATAGCATCCGTGGAGCTGCGCAGTCCAGCAGATAAGTATGTTCTTTTTTCTTCTGCATGGCATTATTCTCTGACATTTGTTGTTGATTGTTTGTAATCTGAAAGAGTGAAATTGGCATATATAGTTTAATTATTGTAAAATATAGTTGCACATTGGATTATATTTGTTAAAAATAAAAGTAAAGGTAAGGACCCTCTTTCATGCCTTTAAGGCTATTGGACATATAGGGCTAGACCTATATTTTATTTCTGATTGGCACTCGGTGGTTGAAATGGTCAGTATGACATCGGCCGCCTTTACTTCCCAGGAGCGCACCTGTTACCCACTTAAGGCTAAACGACCTGGGAGCCGAGGTCATTTTTTGAAAACAGTCTGGCTCCGTCTAGATGCTACACCGAGGTGACTCCTTTTGTTAAGTGTGTTTGTTAAATTATCAGCTCTTGATCACACAGTGAACTTTTCTTTCCTCTTGTGCTTGCCTCAGCCATTCTGTTTTGGCTAAACTATTTGTATGAGCATGCCTTCCAGTCTGTCTGCCCATTAGTCTGTCTGTGTCTTTTCTCCAACTCTTTCCTTTTTCCCCTGCTATTTCTATTCTTTTTTTTTCTTCTGTCTTTCTCTCTTATTTTTTTCTGTCTTTCTGTCTTTATTCTGTCTCTGTCTTTTCTTTGTTAAATTCTATATTTATTCTCTTTCTTTTGTCTTCCTGTTATTTTCTTCCTTCCTTTTTTTTCTTCTCTTTGACTGCTTAAGGCTTAATTGTTTTTTTGTTTTTGTTTTTGCTTTCTCTTTCTCACTCTCCTTCTGATTATAAGCAGTTAATTGTATTTCTCTGACATACACACATCTATTCTTCCCCCTTCTTCCTTCACTATACACAGTCAGAGAAAAGTGGCAACCCATCTATGACAAACATATGGTCGTCCATTATGCTAATGGAACATGTCATTGTATGACTGTGACATTTCATCCCATAACTGTGACATTTAATAAACCATGTATAACTGTAGTGCTGCTGTTGTGTATCACTGTGCCTGATGACTTCATCCCCAGACTGTTTGGGTGTAACACATTTATGCAAATGCCATGCTGGTGTTATTTGAAAAAAATATTATTTGCCACACAGTGTCTGGAAATCAGGTGCCATAATACAGGGGTTCTGAATCCTGCTGTGATTGCAGACACCACAGGAGTGCTCAAGATATTCCCTTCACACTAACAGTTTTTCATTTTATATGTTCATTTGCTGTGTTGTCAAATATCATATCATCATCATCCTCAAGTAGAAAGTCCTTTACAGAATATCAGTCCCATCTATTCCCCCTGAAAGAAACTTTAATCCCTTGCCAGCTGTCTTGCCTCATGCACTTTCCTTCCCAGTGTATCTTTTATGTCCTGTGCCCATCTTTGAGCTGATCAACCTCTGCCCAATTAGTCCAATACCATGCCCTCTGCTACTGTTCTTTCCAATCCACTGATGTGGCCCAAGTATTTCATTATTTCAGCTTCTAAGACAAGAGGCTGTTTATAAGCCAGTTTTCCTTCATGCCATGATCTTTTAGGATGTCAATATTCCTTTTCTTCACGGTCCTTGGTATTCATGTTGTCATAAAGCAAGGAAATTGCTCTGTTTTGTCAGTCCTGTATCTCAGAACATCTGATTTTGACAAGCATATTTTTCAGATTTACTTTCAGGCTTGTTTTGTAATTGTTTATTCTACCTGCAGTTGTCTAGACAGTTCTCTGATTTCTTCACCTTTCTTGAGTTTTAGTCACTGCTGCTAGAGAGATTTTCCCTGGCATTTTATTGAAATCAAAACATGGCCTTAAAGTGTGTTTATTACACAACATTAAACTTTGTGTCATCTGGCAAATTAAATTTTAAAAATAAAAGCTAGATGAAAATTGATAATCAGACCACAGTGTTTCTCTAACCTTAATTAGAGATTCCATGTCATGTTAACCACATCACCCAGTGAGCACTGACGAGTCTATTAAATATCTGATGCACCATTGCTGTAAAGGGGGTCCTTTCTGCTTTTTTTTTTTTTTTAAATAACTGAGTTTCATTCCTACCCCCTAATTTATCTAAGCCATAGCCTTACAACTGGAGCTCTTTGCTGGCTGCTGAAGATTAGGATGCAGTGTTTATGGGAATATGCCAGGGACTGTAATGTTTTTGACTCAGCTTATGACAGACAGGATTGGACACCTCAGATTTAGAACCTCTGTATTATGGGAGCAGACCTCTGTGGCCTTTGACTTCATAACACTTGTGCTACATAATTGCTTCAGTGCTTAGGGTCATAACATATGTACTGATGTTTTTGTTTTGAGAGTAGGATACATTGACATAAGGAGCTGATCACCTCAATCCATAAATCACTAAATTGTGAAATTTTATTTTATCAGTCTTTACCGTGGGATTACATTTATTTGTTATTGGCTTTTTTTTTCCTAGTAGCCACCGGTGTCGTGCACTAAATACGTTTGATAACTAACTATTAGTATTCATTCATTAATTCGTTATCATGTTGGGCCATTGTGTGTGACATAGGGCTGCAGTCTATTTCTCTATTTCGTTCTGTCCTGTGCAATTACTTCAGTGTCATGGATGGAATCCAGCAGCTTTGGCCTCTCTCATCATCTTTCATCATAGGGTTTCTTTTGATCTTTTAAGCGTCCTCGACTCCCTAATCACTTTATTTCCTATTTTAATAATAATAATAATGATATTATGCTTAGATGAATTTGCATTCACCATCTTACTCTATCATACTGTTTGTTTCATATTTTATGGAACTCTATACTGTAAAACTTGTTAGCTGTTTTATCTTTTTTTACTGTTTTTAGCATTTCTTTAGGAAAGTAAAGAAAGGCAGTATAATACTGGCAATATGGCATTTGAACTTATTAGAAAATGTAGGTTTAAAACTGTAGATCATTTTGAAAATATGCCTAAACATATGTCCCTGATTTAATTTAATAGTGTGACTTTTACTGTTGTTATAATTAAATAAAAATACAAATTATGTTCCGTCTCCACAGTGAAGGTTGGCCACAGGGTACCTGCACCCACTGTTGTCTATGGAAATGGAACTTTCTGAGGAGCCAATCTTTTCCACAGTCCAACTCTCATACTTCTTTTTCTGCCTTTCTAACCACAATGGAGCATAGGCCTTCAACCCACTCAACGACAAGTCGTTCTATTCTTTGCTATAGCATGCATTTCTCCCCATTTCCTACCCATCTTTTTAACTTTGCTTTCTATCTTCCTTCTCCAAGTGTTTTTTGAGTCTTCCTTTTTTCTATTCCCTGATGGGTTCCAGTGCAAAGACATTCAAGTTATATTGTTCTCAGGTTTTCTCAACATGTGACCTGTCCAACACCAGCAACATTTCTTCACTTCTTGGTCCACTGGAACTGAAAATCACAAGAAAAGGATTTCTACAACTTGTCCAACATGGACATTGAACAGTACTACTTGAGGGTGATGAAGTTGCTAATTGCTTTCACCACCATCTAATCCACAGAGTCCAACAGCTCTTGTGAATGGATATATTAATTTAGTGTTTTGTTTGTTTGCAGGTGTGGGGTACTCCAGGAAGGGGATCGAGTGCTGACTATCAATGGCATGGAGACTGTAGATAGGACTCTTGAAGAGGTCAACCACTTTCTGCGAGACTCCAGGCCTCGTTGTGTGCTCCTCATTGAGTTTGATGTTGCAGGTACAGTTTGGTTTAAGGATAAGTTTATAGTCTAACAAGAGTTAATACAGTCACATTTGGATTTTGTAAATTTTGCGTTGATATAATGGAGAGCCACAGTGTTGCTAGCTAGAATGCTAGTCCATTCCTTCCTGGTGGAGTGGCTATAATACTGGCCCCTGACCTGGTGGTGGAGTGGCTATAATACTGGCCCCTGACCTAGTGGTGGAGTGGCTAGAAAACTAGCCTCTGGATGGTGTAGAGTGCCTAAAATACTGGCCTCTGGCTTATGGTGGAGCAGCTAGAATACTGGCATCTGGCCTTGTGGAGTGGCTAGAATACTGGCCTTCAGTCTAGTTGCAGAGCAGCTAGTATACAACCTCTGGTAGAGGGGCTAGAATACAGGCCTCTGGTCCCATTGTGGAGTGGATAGAATACTGGTCTTTCACAAAATTGCAGGTGTGGGGTACTCCAGGAAGGGGATCGAGTGCTGACTATCAATGGCATGGAGACTGTAGATAGGACTCTTGAAGAGGTCAACCACTTTCTGCGAGACTCCAGGCCTCGTTGTGTGCTCCTCATTGAGTTTGATGTTGCAGGTACAGTTTGGTCTGCCAGTTTTGGTCTTTCACAAAATATGAGTCTGACATCATATGCTTGATGCCCCATTCCCATGAAAAAGGTCCTTTCACTATTAAATTATAATTTTAAAAAAAAAAAAAAAAAAAAAAAAAAAAAAAAAAAAAAATTTGCGGTAGAAAATTAGTGAAATAAGTTTTTTTTAAAATGCTGGTATCCATATTTAGCACAGTATACAACATGTTTTCTGCACCACATAGTTGAAAACATTGTATGTGGAAGAGCAGTCTAGCTGGAAAATGTTCTGTAGTCCTGCAATATATTCAATGAGATAAGCAAGATTTGATATCTGTGACCTGGACATAAGTTGTAAGTTGGAGTTCCAGCTTCACAGCCGATGGTCTCCCTTTGTTTAATGTGTTCCTGTAAGAAAAGTAAAGTAAAGAACCCTTTCCACACCTTTTAGGCGTATCGGGCACATGGGAAGAGCGCCCATATGGACAACAGATGGCTGTTTACAATATTAGATGGCTTAATATGGTCAGGAGGAACTTTATCCCGGCCGTCTTTGTACCAGGAAAAAACCGTAAATAATGCCTGTCACTGTCTGACTTATGCATCAGGTTGAACAGATTGCAGTTCTGACAAAGCCAACGAATGCACTTGCATAGAATGCATGGGCAGCTGCCAGATGTAACAGCACCAACAGTCCACCCCTAGAATTGCACTTCATTGCCACTGGAAGCAGTCGTCATGATAAATTAGTACACACCAGTACTGCATAAGGTACTGCCAGTTCTGTCGCAATGGGCTTCTTACCATTTCTGGATGACATGGATATAAAATACTCCACACTGATTGCTCCTATTTAAATATGTAAAAATTAGCTTATAGCATTTACACATTATAATCCCATAAATTTAAATATATACCTAACTATTATAAATGTAATTAATTATAATATAGTTAGTTTTTGCTAATGTGGTTGAATTTTTCAGAATCAGTGACACCAAGTTCAGGCACATATATTGTCAAACTGGCCAAGAAATCTGGCGACACTGGAATTACTGTTGGCAGTAAGATTTTCCTTTACTCCATTACTGCCAGTTTTCTGCCATATTTGGTTGTGTTATGTCTGGTTCTTTATGTGCAGATAAAAGTGTGAGTGTCTGCTCTGACAGCTTTCATAGCACCCGTTACTCATTTTATTTGTTCAGAAGTAATTTTATATTGGTGTGATAGATATGAAATGATCTACCATCAATTTTATATTGGTGTGATAGATATGAAATGATCTACCATCAATTTTAAATTGGTGTGATAGATATGAAATGATCTACCATCAATTTTATATTGGTGTGATAGATATGAAATGATCTACCATCAATGTTATATTGGTGTGATAGATATTATGAAATGATCTACCATCAGAGTAGTCCATGTTCTCACCTGAAAGTAATTTTTCTCAGTCACATTAACTGTTATAGAACCAGGCAAACATTGTTAAATGCATTCTTTTCCAGTAAGTTTTTGCGTAAGATTAATCTACCATCAATGTTATATTTTGGTCAGAATGAGCTGAGTGACCATCAAGTGGTTCAGTCCATATTCTCACCATCAGAAACTGTTAAAGAACCCACATTGGCCAGTAAGTTTTTGCAGATAGTGAGGTCAGAATGGCTTGACCAACTTTGCCACAGAGACCACTTTGCCACGTAGACCCTCCACACAGTATGAGTCGAACACCATATGCCTGTTGCACCAGTGGTATAAAAAGGGGCCGTTATGTTAATCTGCCAAACTTTGAAAGGTGAAGAAGAAGTAGGAGGAGGAGAAAAGTAAGACTGATTTACTGCACTAAAGAATGTCTTTTTCTTCTTCGCATTCACCAGCTGTAAACTCCAGTAGAAGGTTCTGGTTGTTCATCCCCTTCTGGACTTTAGTCCTGTTCCAGTGTTGTATGCACATCCATTTCACAGATCTGACTCATTTGCATGCAGACTGTTGGTTCCTTGCCTCTGAGGCAGATGCACTCTGACTTTGAAGGAAGCTCCCATTTAGTCGACTCCGACATGCTTTTGGGTGGGCAGTAGATCCAATATTGGTTTTTCCACAGTGGAGTCCTGGAACCCATGGGGAACTAAACAAAGTGAAAAGGCTGCTGTTGATTTGAATCCTAGACCTACACCGTGGTATGCAGATTGGTTGTAAACATGTGTTTGGTTTTCTGCTGTACTTTGTAGTAATCCCCTGTAATTGTTTCTGTTGAGATTTTTTCTTTCAAATGGAGTTTCTATAGTTGAACAATTTTCTGAATGTCATTTGTAGACGCAGGATGTTAACTGGCTGAATGTCATTTGTAGACACAGGATGTTAACTGGCTGAATGACATTTGTAGACACAGGATGTTAACTGGCTGAATGTCATTTGTAGGCACAGGATGTTAACTGGCCAAATGTCATTTGTAGATACAGAATGTTAACTGGCTGGATGTCATTTGTAGACACAGGATGTTAACTGGCTGATTTCATATATAGACACAGGATGTTAACTGGCTGACTTTCATTTATTCTTCAGCTGCCCCATCTTTCAAGAATGGCAAAGATGCCTTGTATATCTCCGATGTGAGACGAGGCAGTTTAGCATACAGGTAAGCCTGGCTGTTTATTGAACATCATCATCATCATCATCAATTAGCGAGTCCTTTACAGAACATTGCTCTCTTCACGGCAAGCCTGAAAGTATCCCTTTCCCTAGCCAGCTCTCGGGCCCCACGTGCTTTCAGTGCCAATGCTTCTTCAAAACTTTCAATGCCAATGCTTCTTCAGTGTCCTGTATCCAGCTTCACGGTGGTCAACCCCTGCCTGGCCTTCCACAAACTGTACCCTCTATCACTGTCTTGTCCAAGCCACCACGACGCTTGATGTGGCTAGAATACTTCACATTTGGGGACAGGATGCTGTTTATGAGCCAGTTCTCCCTGATGTTCAACTCGTTTAGAATGTCTATGTTTTTCCTCTTATATCACGTACACAGTATGTATTTGCTTTTATTGTGATTTCTGCCTTCAGGACAGGTTCCATCCAGCCTGGAGACAAACTGTTGGCAGTCAATGATGTCAGACTGGACACCTGCACACCTGAAGATGCCATGCACCTGCTGGAACTCCCAGATGATATTGTCAAGCTGAAGCTACAGCGTGATGACCCTGGTAAGGATTCATGGCAGCTTTCTAAATTCTTGTTTAAAAAAAAAATGAGTATAAAAATAAGTTCTCATACAAATCTTTTCGAAGAAAGATTGAAGAATTACACGGGGGGGGGGGGGGGGGCAAACAGAGCTATGTATCATAAATTGAATACAAGAATTATCATTGAGAAGTGCAAAGTACAGCATTGATCCTCGTTTTTGTTTAATATACAACAGTAAGACCTCTATTTTCAGTATCTTAGAATCTGGAACATTATGAAGATAATGTGGTTTCCAGTACGTTTGATCCAGTTAAACACTACTCCATTAACAGCAGACAACTATCCTTTTTTGCTGATGAGACATTGAACTTGTTTGAGGTCCATAGGTAAGTTAAGGGGGATGTAGAAAGGTGGATGTAGTAAAGGGGGAAGAGAAGTTTAATTCTGTCCCCATACTTTTCAATGGAAACAAAAGTGATGAGACCTTTGGCTATTTTGATCTATTCATAAGTGGTGTAAGTCTAGATCCAGAACTTAGATGTTTAGATTCCCTGTGTGGGTTTTGAGGCTGTATTGTGGGGAAGAATAGATCCACCTGTTGAACCTCTGCATCTGCACATCCTGCCACCCATTACCTGCAGTCCCATCCCAAGGTAATCACTACCTTGTGCAGCTCTTTTCTGCCCAGCACTACTTTCAACTTTTACTCATTCCTCTCCTCTGCTAATCTCTTCATTGTTGCAGACACTGTTGATTGAAGCGGGAGACCGAAGACAACTTTATCACTGACATCAGAAGGAGACAGTCATCATTTTTCGGCCATGTTATGAGAAGAGGGAAAATAGAACATGTTGTGACCACTGGAAAGATCTGTGCAAGGAGGGATAGAGGAAGACAACGAGAGAAGATGCTTGACAGTCTTGTTGCATGGCATGGAGGTGTGTCGGCACACGAACTGATACATGCTGCAGGAGATCGCGGATTATGGAGAGGCATGATCGCCCACGCCAGTCGGCAAGGCACCTGATGATGATGATGACTGTTGATTGTCTTGTCAGCCTGGGCCGTCCTTGATCTGCCCATCTTAAGTCTGTCACCCTTCACAGTGTCCAATTCCCTACAATGGATATGTTGCGCATCACTTGCAACTCTCAGATAGAACCTAGCTTGCAGTATACTATGTCTGGGAGCAATGGTTGACATGGCCAGGATATGTTGCGCATCACTTGCAACTCTAAGATAGAACCTAGCTTGCAGTATACTATGTCTGGGAGCAATGGTTGACATGGCCAGGATATGTTGCGCATCACTTGCAACTCTAAGATAGAACCTAGCTTGCAGTATACTATGTCTGGGAGCAATGGTTGACATGGCCAGGATATGTTGTGCATCACTTGCAACTCTAAGATAGAACCTAGCTTGCAGTATACTATGTCTGGGAGCAATGGTTGACATGGCCAGGATATGTTGTGCATCACTTGCAACTCTAAGATAGAACCTAGCTTGCAGTATACTATGTCTGGGAGCAATGGTTGACATGGCCAGGATATGTTGTGCATCACTTGCAACTCTAAGATAGAACCTAGCTTGCAGTATACTATGTCTGGGAGCAATGGTTGACATGGCCAGGATATGTTGTGCATCACTTGCAACTCACAGATAGAACCTAGCTTGCAGTATACTATGTCTGGGAGCAATGGTTGACATGGCCAGGATATGTTGTGCATCACTTGCAACTCTAAGATAGAACCTAGCTTGCAGTATACTATGTCTGGGAGCAATGGTTGACATGGCCAGGATATGTTGTGCATCACTTGCAACTCACAGATAGAACCTAGCTTGCAGTATACTATGTCTGGGAGCAATGGTTGACATGGCCAGGATATGTTGTGCATCACTTGCAACTCTAAGATAGAACCTAGCTTGCAGTATACTATGTCTGGGAGCAATGGTTGACATGGCCAGGATATGTTGTGCATCACTTGCAACTCACAGATAGAACCTAGCTTGCAGTATACTATGTCTGGGAGCAATGGTTGACATGGCCAGGATATGTTGTGCATCACTTGCAACTCACAGATAGAACCTAGCTTGCAGTATACTATGTCTGGGAGCAATGGTTGACATGGCCAGGATATGTCTCATACACGCAACTGGTTTGTCCCTTGTGCATCCCAGAATAACTCGCGTAGCCTCATTTGTATACATTCCAACTTCTCCAGTTGAGATTTTGGTATTGTTTGCATATTCAATGACCTTCAGCGCATTAAGGCCTCTCTTTGCTCTTAAGATGACTGCATTGATGTGGTCTTTGAAAGACAGGCATTTGTTGAACTTTAACTCCTAGATTTGTTATTCTGTTTCCCCTTGAGGCCGTTACTCCATTTAGTGACACTGGCTCAGAGAGATAAAGTCAAAACAATCACGACAAATGCTTCATGTTGCAGATGAAGGCAGCGAGGGTTTTGTGATTTACACCGTGGAGCTGCAGAGGTTTGGTGGTCCCTTAGGCATCACAATCTCCGGCACTGAAGATCCTTTGGACCCCATTATCATATCTGAGCTGACACCACAAGGCCTTGCAGAGAGGTACTTATTCATGTCTTTATTTAAGCCTGTGATATATTTTCCCTTGATTTATTACAATTACTATGATTATTCAGTCTTCGACACATAATGAATTGAAAATGAATCCTTTCAACTGATATACACAGATCGGTTTTCGTTGTTAGACTGTACGTGTCACCACAAAAAACTAAACCATATATTTGTTGTTTACATAACATGGATTCGCCCTAGAGAAATCTTATGTTCCAATTTGACTCTCTCTTGTCAGAGAAGATGGTGTCAGTTAAAAAAAAAAAAAGCTCACTGAACCCTTGACCACTTGGCTGGTAGGTAAGTATGCTAGCCAGTGTGTCCCCTGTGGCACCCTATGGCATTCCATGAGTAGAGAAAAGAAAGGCCCCCTCCATAAATCTATTCCTGCCCTGGCGCAGCGAGGCATTCCTGGAGCAGAGAATGAAAAAGAAGACGGCTGGTATTGTGAAGTTGAAACTATAACCTGATGACCCTGGTAAATTTAATGGAAGCTCACTAAATTCTGTTTTGTTAAACAAACTAATATATTAGAATAAAATGTAAACATCATCATCATCATAAGTTTCTCCTACATTGGTAGTTGTTCTGGCTGCATTCTTAATAAATGGCCAAACCATTTGAGCTTCTGTTTCTCAGTGAATTTGCTGCATAGTGTTGTTTCTACAGTCTGTCTGATATCATTTTTAACTTTGTCTCGGATGGTTAAGTTGGTAGCTTTTCTCAGGTATCTAATTTCACAGGTGGTAATTTTACGTAGGTTAGTCTTTGATAAAGTCCAAGTCTGGCACTGGTAGCACAATGTTGGTATGAATATGCTGTTTATAATCTGTTTCTTGGCGCACATACTTATGTTTGAATGTCTTCATAACCGTATCAGTTGGTATATAAGTGCACTGGCTCGTTGGCATCTTGTTTCTGTTTCCCAGTCTATTCTTCCATCCTCCAAGAGTATACTTTCTAGATATTTGTATTGCTTCAGAGAGGTACCATTCAACAGAATATGTAGCGGACTAGGAATTCTGCTGACCTGCATTACTTGTAAACAGGATTGTAAAATTACAACATGAATTACAAGAGGTATAGACTTATTTCAGATGGGCAAAAAAGATCTATAGATCATAATTTGAAGACGAAAACTATCTTTAAGAATACTGAGTGCAGTGTAAATTCTTTAACTTGTTTTAAAGACTACACTAAGACCTTTAATGCCGGTATAAATTGTGTAACTTTAGGACATTCGATACACTCTTCTTTTTCTTCTTCTTTTGTTGTCTCACTGATACCATGTTGTATCCCATTGTCGTGGTTTCCTGTATTTGTCTTGCACTTCTCGGGTGGCTTGAATGATGAATTTGTTCATCTTTTTTGCAGGTTTCAGCGACACCATTTATCCTTTTCTTTCTTAGTCTTCCTGTCATCTTCCTTCCAGATGTTCTACAGTAAAAAGTCTCATATGCAGTCTGGTCGGGCGGCATTCTCACTAGATGGCTGAACCATTTCATTCTTTGTCAACAAAATCCAGACATGGTCTTATTCCAACTTTCTCTCCCTGTCTTGTCTTGTGTTGTTAGTGATCTTGCGGAGACAGCGCATTTCACATGTACTTATTTTCTGTTCTAGTGCTCTATTCATTGTTCATGTTTGACACTGATAACATACAGTAGGGATAAAGATGCTATTAATCATTTGCTGTTTTGCTGGAAGGGAGACATTTGGATTTTTAAGAAGTGGGACTGATGGTAGGTGACAGCATTTGCCTTTTGTACTATGGCTTCTAGTCTGCTGTCCTCCGTAAATATGCTTCCTAGATATTTGAATTGTTGTACTTGTTTGACTGTAGTACCATTAACATGGACGTTCATGGTATTATGTTTCCTGCCTCCAGTTTTTTTCTTCTTTATAGCAATCAGTTAGCGGTGTTTAATTTAATCTGGCAATTAAAGAAAAGAAAACTGAACAGTTTTTACTTAAGCCCATAGGATGATTTTGAGATGTGACAATTTTTTTAAGTTTGAGAATTTGATTTTTGTTCCTTGCAGGACTGGAGCCATTCATGTTGGTGATCGCCTCCTGGCAGTCAGCGGCAGTAACACCAAAAATAAACCACTGTCAGAAGCCATCAGGATGCTGCAGAGCGCTGGAGACATTGTCACACTGAAAATTGCACGACCAGACCCCACAGCCGGTAAGCAGAATTTGAGTTGTATTTCCATCAGTTGTGTAGTGTCCTAACCTGTACACTCCGTGGCTACAGCGCTGTGCGGCCCTAAAACCTCAGGCACACAACCTCCCGTCTACACCACCCCAAAAGTTGGAATATACAGACAGTAGTGACAGTTTGTTTGTTTGTTTGTTTGTTTGTTTATGCGTGCATGCGAGAGAGAGGGAGAGAGCCATGTCCTCATGTGTGGATGGTAATTTTTTTTTCACAGCTTGTGATCTCTAACAGCTAACATCTGTTTATGTGGGGACATCCCTCTGTGCCATGACAAAAGGCTGTCAGGAATCTTATTGTTTTCCTGTATTTGTATTTTGGTAAATCTTTCAAAATTAAAGAAAAAAAAAACAAATTAAAAAAAAAAAAAAAAGGCGCTCTTTCTACTGTTTGTGAATAGTTGTCTTTGGGTGTTAGCCTATTCCAGTACATCTGGATTTATCCTTTTGTCTCTGAGTTATATACAGGCTAAGAATCTTTTATGATGTAATAGTGGTCTGCAGCTTAGAGGTTAGTGAACATCTTTCACAATCTGTGATGTCTCAGAGTTTGTTTCTATGGCAGGGGGTTTAGAAAAATATTGTTATTATGGCTTTTGGTCAGTGGTATGAGAGTCACTGTGGAATAGATTGGGGACTTACCGCATTATGTGACTTTAGAAAAAAAAAAACATCAGGATATTTAGCTTTAAGTAATTTCAAAAGCACGTGTTCAGAGTCTCTTTGACTCTGATCAACCATCTTTTCCTAGGTTAAGTTCTAGTATGAACTTCACTGTCTGTTGTAAAGTTTGGCTTCAGCCGGTGTTTCTTTCGGCTTACTGATTACTGATTCAAGAATCGACATCATAGCACACCGGGCATACCCATAGTTGCTCCGTCTCCTGCAGCAAATGACGTAAGGTGTAGATGCTAAATGTTCCCGTAGCACACTGAATATACATGCGCCGATCTCTTCCTCTCATCCGTCCCTCCTTGCCGGATCAACACTTATGTCCTCATTTACACATTCTTGCCCATGTTATTTCATCTAATCTCATTTCTTCTGCCAAAAGTCGTTCATATATGGTCTTCAGAATATCAACCTTGTCCAATACGAGTGTTCCAGTAGCTTGCACTTTATAGCCAGAAAATCTGCTCTTTCATTCTCTCGCACTCCTGCATATCCCGGACAGTATATCTACGTGATTTCCTGCAGTGTTAGTGTGCTGTTGCATGGTATTCACTCTTGCCACATTAGTCCGTTTTGAACTTTCTGCAATGCCTACCGAGAATCAGACACTATAATTCCTCTGGTAACTTTGTTTTCTGCTATCCACTTCAGAACAGCAGTGATTGCCTCCACTTCCATTCTCATGCTTGAAGTTGTAGATATAAAAGCTCCGTTTTGTTCTGCCACAATTTTTTCCTTCATTCTAGCTGAAAATCCCCAGCCAGATCTTACATCCCGATGAACAGAACCATCGGTGTACACTACTGCATCATCTAGTCCAGCCTTTCCATCGATCAGTGGTTGTACCTCTAATTCTGCCATATTGTTAATCACTCTCTACATTCTCTTCCTAACGTGATAATGACCTGATGGAAACTGCTGTTGTGGGTGTTTGTGTCGATCCATTCCTGCCCCGTGTGTATTTGCTTGACTGAGGCCACCGTGTCGATGGTATCTTCAGCTAGTGCCATCCATGACTTTCATCTTTTCAACTGGTCTTTTCTTAAATCATTTAAATTACCAGGCAGTGGATGCCTTTCATCATTGGTAACTCGCATATAGGCCTTGCCTAGCGCCAGTGACAGTCTACACTTGACCGAGGTCAGCTCAAGCATATACCTGATTGTTCTAATGGCCAGAAGTTTTACCTTGATATGTTGTATTCTTGAAGGTAAAGGTAGAAGGTAAACATGAGATGATCGACTTCATTGCAAGGACTTTTTATCGCAAATGGCTCTGTCTCTCTCTGCAGAACAGCTAGCTGGCTGCATAGAGTGTCGCACGGAGCATGATCTCCGTAGCCACGGCAGCGATCCCCAGGGATCTTCGTACAAATTGCACTCGTGAACTGAACGTCGCCGCCATGAAATGAACCGATGACCTTCAGAGTGCAAGGCACATGGCTTGACCACTTCGCCACGGAAAACCCTTATCTTGGAAGACATGATCTGTTGTCCCAGGTGCTAATCCACATGTACAGTTATCCTCTTGCTCTGTATCCAAATGCTGTGTGATACAAACATCCCCTCAGCCTACCTTCATTGTAAATAATTGCACAGCTTATTTTCAATAAACCCAGAACATTAAGGTTTCTCATCAGTTTAATAACTTCTTACCAAACCAATTGTGCTTTCCTAAATCTACTGTGAGCTGCTATTTTTCGTTTCTTCCATCAGCCCATCAACACTTATTTCTTTTATTTTTGGCAGTCGATCAACAGTGTTTCTTTTCTTTTTTACAGCCAGTCAGCAGTGTTTTATTTCTTCTAGCAACTGGTCAGAAATGTTTCTGCTCTTTATTGCAACCAGTCAGTTAGGTTCCCTTATGTTAGCTTGTCGCCAATGTTATCACAATTTTCTTTTTCTTCTTTTTTTTTTGTTTTTGCCAATAAAAGGGCGGTTGGTATGTGTTTTGCAGCTGAGCTGTGATATCTGCGCTTTTTGGCCCAACACATGATTTCAAGCGCGTCCTTAATTAGTTGCTTTTTTTTTTACAACATCCTTATTAAGGGGGCAGTGTGTCTGTTCTGTTTGTCCCTAACTAAAAAGGGCCCCAGGAAGCACACAGGGAATCACTATGGTGAAACATTAATTCATCAGGAATAATATATTAAAAAAAAAAAAAATTATCGTGAAGAAGGCTGTATGTTATCCCATTTCTATAAGTGAATTCATATTTCTGTTAGGGCAAAAGATGGAATCGAAACAAAGCAACAGGAGCATTAAAAAGACTTGGACATCTGTGCTCAGAAGAAACAAACCCTGAACCAGACTTAGAATATCTGATGGTTGTGTACTTACTGCAGTTGGAGCAAACTGCAAGCATTCATTAATTGTGGCCTGCTTCAAACAAAATAAATAAAGTGATTCAGCATTATCTGCTAATTGAGAGCACAAAACAACAAATAAATTCCAGCAAATCACGCTGAGATAAGAAGCTGGTGCTGTAAAAACATGAGGAAAACCAAGTTATAATGGCTTGAGTTGAATTGTGTCAAGAATTGACATCACAACATTTGGGGCATTCCCATGCAAGCTTCGTTCTTATCTTCAGCAGCCAGCGCAGAGTTCCAATACTGATGGTACCGGTCACATTCTGGTTATATGTCCGTCTTGTCTTTCCTCTGAGTGTAGTGAGCCGGCCAGACCCTCTGGTTACACCCAGGTGCCTCATTCTCTCCAGGCCATAATAATTTTGTTTCTCTACTGATTCGATTGCTTGTTTCCAAAGTACCTTGTCCACATCTGCCTTGTCATGTATCAATTCACCAGCCAGTGGTGCGGATCCAGCCAATCTGTCTGCCTGTTTGTTACCCACTATTATGGCTTGATTGTCCTTACAGTGGAACTCACAGGGTAAATGAGAGATAGGGAGAGTGAAAATACATGAAATAAAATGTTTTTGAGAGATGAATAGTATGATGACTTATCTGTGAGTTGGTTAAGGGTCTGTGCTTCAATGAAGAAGGAAAAAAGGGTAGAACTATTTGAAAAAAAACTACTATTCTCTTCAACAGTTTAAAGAAAGAACACATATCTAGTTGTTGGATTTTAATTTATCTTTCTCTTCTTTCAGATACCAGCTTCTTACATGTCTCTCCGGTAAGTGTATCAGCAGCTGTGGTTGGACTGTGTGTAAATGTGTGTGTGTGTGTACATAAATATGTCTACGCTTGTGTCCATGCATGCACATTGTATGAGTGCATGTGTGTATGAGTGTATGTGTGTATGAGTGTATGTGTGTATGAGTGCATGTGTGTATGAGTGTATGTGTGTATGAGTGCATGTGTGTATGAGTGCATGTGTGTATGAGTGCATGTGTGTATGAGTGTGTGTGTGTATGAGTGCATGTGTGTATGAGTGCATGTGTGTATGAGTGCATGTGTGTATGAGAGTATGTGTGTATGTGCACATTCATGTTATGTGAACATCCTTATAATAAAGACAAGGCAGAAGTAAAATAAGTGAAGGACCACTTTTCCACGCCTTTGGGCGTATAGGGCATATAGGGCTAAACCTATTTTTTTTTATATACCAATTGGCACAAGATGGGTGATGTGGTCAGCATCTCGCCGGCCGCCTTTACTTCCTGGGACTGCACCCGGTACCCACTGAAGGCTGGGTTGACATGGGAGCCAAGGTCATTTTAAAAAAAAAAATCCGTCTCTACCAGTTAGCGAACTCATGACCTTCCGATTCATGGTGAGTGTCTAGCCGCTCTGTCACAGCGACTCTCAACAAGGCAGTAAGAAAAATAAATGGTTACATTACCTCATGTTATTGTTAAAAGTGTATGAAGACAAAACTTCATACCCTAACAGCAGGGCTATTTAACTAAGTTTACTCAGCGGCGAAAATTGTGAAAATAGGGATGGTCACGGGCCAGATGCGTAGTCCGTACATTAAAAAAAAAAGCGTTAATACAATAAAACTGGCAGGTGATCCACAGGCCACTGATTAGGCCTTCGAGGGCCAGATGTGGCCAGTGGGTCGCGATTTGAATAGCCTTGCCGTAACAGCAGTATTTGCTCTATTTTTGCATCTAGGTCATAAATGTACTTTTGTGAGAGTGCAGTGCTGGCTTTCATGATTGACCGTTTGCGCTAACATAGAGCTGCAATTAGGGTGTGGTACCGTTAGTGTTAGCACATCCGACACTGCCTTGTGCATTTGTACTTTGAGCGTACAGACTTTAGGATTTTGCTGAGACTGACAAGTTTTTCACTAGTTTTCAATTGGGCATTAAAAGACCTTTTGTGTGATTTTTTTTTCCACTGGCAGTGCTACTGATTCGCCTGCAGCTGGGATCAAATCCAGCACCAAGTTATAAAATGTGTTTGCACTGCCTAAGCCACAGAGCTGACATAAATAGAAGAGGAAGAAGAATAGAGAGAAGAAAAAAAAGAAGAAAAAAAGGAAATAAAGAAGGAAAAAGGAGAAACAGGAGAAGGGGTTGGAGCAAGATGAAGAGGAGGAGAATAAAGAGAAGAATATTGTTTCAAAAAGAAAAAAAAACCATAAATCAATTTATAATTAAAACAATGTTTAAGGAGAAACATCATTATGGTAGTATACATACCAGCCAACAGAAGAACAAATATAAGAGCTTTTTATTTGTTTCATTGTAACCAAATATACCCGAATGTGACAATGTTTGTGTATTATATATAACACTGTATGGCATCCGTGATGGCTGCGTCTCTCTAACAACCATGCACACCTTAAGTTTATCTTAGGGCACAGTGGGAAACCCTCCACCACCATACCTAGTGTAGACAGTGCCCTGGAGTCCTGGGATAGTTCAGCTCATGACATTGCTGCCATTGGCAGCCCTCACCACAACTACAGTGGAGCTATGGTGCTGGCAGTGCCTCACAGCACAGGTAAGGGCATTAATGTTGTTGTTCCTGAGGCATTAATGTTGTTGTTCCTGAGGCGCTAATGTTGTTGTTTCTGAGGCATTAATGTTCTTGTTCCTGAGGCAATAATGTTGTTGTTCCTGAGGCATTAATGTTGTTGTTCCTGAGGCAATTATGTTGTTGTTCCTGAGGCATTAATGTTGTTGTTCCTGAGGCAATTATGTTGTTGTTCCTGAGGCAATTATGTTGTTGTTCCTGAGGCAATTATGTTGTTGTTCCTGAGGCATTTATGTTGTTGTTCCTGAGGCATGAATGTTGTTGTTCCTGAGGCAATTATGTTGTTGTTCCTGAGGCATTAATGTTGTTGTTCCTGAGGCATGAATGTTGTTGTTCCTGAGGCAATAATGTTGTTGTTCCTGAGGCATGAATGTTGTTGTTCCTGAGGCATGAACGTTGTTGTTCCTGAGGCATGAACGTTGTTGTTCCTGAGGCATGAATGTTGTTGTTCCTGAGGCATGAATGTTGTTGTTCCTGAGGCATGAATGTTGTTGTTCCTGAGGCATGAATGTTGTTGTTCCTGAGGCATGAATGTTGTTGTTCCTGAGGCATGAATGTTGTTGTTCCTGAGGCATTGATGTTGTTTTTCCTGAGGCATGAATGTTGTTGTTCCTGAGGCATAAATGTTGTTGTTCCTGAGGCATGAATGTTGTTGTTCCTGAGGCATTAATGTTGTTGTTCCTGAGGCATTAATGTTGTTGTTCCTGAGGCATGAATGTTGTTGTTCCTGAGGCATGAATGTTGTTGTTCCTGAGGCATGAATGTTGTTGTTCCTGAGGCATGAATGTTGTTGTTCCTGAGGCATTGATGTTGTTGTTTTTGAGGCATGGATGTTGTTGTTCCTGAGGCATGAATGTTGTTGTTCCTGAGGCATGAATGTTGTTGTTCCAGAGGCATGAATGTTGTTGTTCCTGAGGCATTGATGTTGTTGTTCCTGAGGCATGAATGTTGTTGTTCCTGAGGCATTGATGTTGTTGTTCCTGAGGCATGAATGTTGTTGTTCCTGAGGCATTGATGTTGTTGTTTCTGAGGCATTGATGTTGTTGTTTCTGAGGCATGGATGTTGTTGTTCCTGAGGCATGAATGTTGTTGTTCCTGAGGCATGAATGTTGTTGTTCCTGAGGCATTGATGTTGTTGTTCCTGAGGCATGAATGTTGTTGTTCCTGAGGCATTGATGTTGTTGTTCCTGAGGCATGGATGTTGTTGTTCCTGAGGCATGAATGTTGTTGTTCCTGAGGCATTAATGTTGTTCCTGAGGCATGAATGTTGTTGTTCCTGAGGCATGAATGTTGTTGTTCCTGAGGCATGAATGTTGTTGTTCCTGAGGCATTAATGTTGTTGTTCCTGAGGCATTAATGTTGTTGTTCCTGAGGCATTAATGTTGTTGTTCCTGAGGCATGAATGTTGTTGTTCCTGAGGCATGAATGTTGTTGTTTCTGAGGCATGAATGTTGTTGTTTCTGAGGCATGAATGTTGTTGTTTCTGAGGCATGAATGTTGTTGTTTCTGAGGCAATTATGTTGTTGTTCCTGAGGCATGAACGTTGTTGTTCCTGAGGCATTAATGTTGTTGTTCCTGAGGCATTAATGTTGTTGTTCCTGAGGCATGAATGTTGTTGTTCCTGAGGCATGAATGTTGTTGTTCCTGAGGCATGAATGTTGTTGTTCCTGAGGCATGAATGTTGTTGTTCCTGAGACATGAATGTTGTTGTTTCTGAGGCATTGATGTTGTTGTTCCTGAGGCATGAATGTTGTTGTTCCTGAGGCATGAATGTTGTTGTTCCTGAGGCATAAATGTTGTTGTTCCTGAGGCATGAATGTTGTTGTTCCTGAGGCATGGATTTTGTTGTTCCTCACTGTTTTGGGACATGCAACTTAAAGAGTAAGTAAATTAGAGATGTGTGAAAACAGAATCTATGAAAGAGAGGGACACCAAAGTCAGACTGTTAGATGTGCTTATGAGCCTAAATCTTTACTCATTTAAATTAAGTTTTGATGCTTTATTAATATCCTACCCCACACAGGGAAAATCTACAGGCAACGGGACAGTCTATTATTTCAGAGGGTGGTAGATAGACTGTATGCAGTTTTGGGACCTAGGCTGCAGTCTCTCGTGGGACGTATGTGGGTTGGGGTTAGGGGCAGTTCTAGATTTGTTTGGGGTCGTTGAAAGCATCAGAAAGCCGGAAAGCGTTGTCTTACCACCCTCTAAAATGTTGGACTGTCCTGTGACTTCATCTGGGGTAGGATATGAATAAAGCACCCAAGTTTGTGGGGTCTTTAGTTTGTTTGTTTGTTTTTTTGTTCTATATGCTCTAACCAAATGGTACAAAGAAGTTTAAAGAATCTGTGTGTGGGTACCAGTGTTCCATGGGGGAGGGGGGAGGGAGAACAGACCCACTGTTCCCTAACAAGCATGACATAAAAGATGACCGATTAAGGACCTAATGAAATCGGATAAATTTGGTCGAATGGCGCAGATATTGCAGCAGAAGCTGTGAACCTTGGCACAATACACCACTCTTTTAAGTGCAACAAAGAATAAAGTTTAAAGTCTAGAGGATTGACCTACTGCACCAGGTTTGTCTCCCTTATGGCTCAGTATCTCTCTGCAGGACTGCTGGCTGCTTGTCTTTAGAGCCACATAAAGTACAAACTCTGTGGCTCCAGTGACAGTCACAGCGATCTCCATAAAAATGTCACCCATGAGCCAAACAATTCAGTCCTTGAAATGAACCTGTGTCCTTTAGAGTGCAAGGCATATGGCTTGAACACTTCACCACAGAGAGCCTGGAAGATGCACAGTGTTATGTTTGGGACACATGGGGAAGAACCAGTTGCACTTGATGCATGGCTTGAGAGAAACAAGATTAATGTGCCCATATTGGTCTTTGGTTTAGGTACCCAGCAAAAGAACATGCACAACTCTTCAGACTTTGCTCATGAGGTCAGAGGTCACAGCCCGCAGCCATGGGATAACGACTCTGAGAACAGGTCAGTGGGATTTTTGTACTGGTGGCAGAGAACTTCTTCTTCTTCTTCTCTTCTTCCACCTTGTACCTCATCGAAGTGTCGGGGGAAGATGTAACATTCGTTGATGACCTCTGTCAAGAGCACTATCAAGACTGATGTTCATTTCTGTGAGGCTGTTCTTAATGCCATCACTCCATATTTTCCTAGGTCTTCCCCTCTCTCTATACCCGTTGAAACATTTTAGTGTGGCTCGCTGTGGCAGATAGTACCACATCATTCTTGTTAGGTGTCCAAACCACATTATTTGTTGTTCTTTGATGACCTGTAAGAGAGCACAGCTATTAAATTGTCACTATGGTGATTGCCCACTTGGATTCTGTGCATGTCACATTATTGTTTGTTTCACTATCGTATCTTGTGTTACCCTTGATACTTGTTACTTGTTATCCGTATCCACTCCTAGCGCATTAGTCTGACACATTTGTACTCCATTCTCTGATGTACCCATCATCTCACTATCTCCATGCTCGAGGTACCAAGTGGGAGTTGACTAGCATATCTTCTTACTTTGCCCCACAGCCGGTTTCTGCATGTTTGTCCTCGGTTAATAACTTTATCTAACAGGCCTTGGACAGCCAAAAAGAGCAACTAAGAGGTTTTAAAAGAGACGGGAGCCCAAAGACATCTTATCACAGACATCAGAAGGAGACAGTCATCATTTTTTGGCTTGTTATGAGTTGAGGGAAAATGGAACATGTTGTGAACACTGGAAGGATCATTGTAAGGAGGTATAGAGGAAGACAACGAGAGAAGATTCTTGATAGTCTTGTTGCATGTCATGGAGGTGCGTCACCACACGAACTGGTACATGCTACAGGAGATCACGGATTGGGAGAGGCATAATAGCCCACTAAAGGGGGCAAGGCACCTGAAGATGATGATGATGATCCAACAGGTGGGTTGGGTGTTGCTGACTCCTTTGTCTCAGCGTTTATGTTCCTCTTGATTTAGTGGGTAGTGAAACACCTAGCCTTCTGAGATCAGGGTAAAGATACAGGAGGTCCTTATTGCTACAAGTTTGTGCATATTAGAAGTCCCATTGTAGCTGGACTTCTCAGGCTCTGATTAGTTTGAACAGAAATCAGAAGTAATGGCAAAAATGTTTTTTTGCAAAACATAGGATCCGAGTAAGTGGAACAAGTCAAAAGCACGTCAGTATGCTTAAATACAGTAGTACGATGGTGCACATTCGCTTTGGTAGACATTAATCGTGGTATATGTCTTACTTAGACACAAACACTTTTGTTTGGTGTATAACCTGTTTTTGGAATACAAACTTGTATGAGTCAAAATTAGTCACGACACTACACAATATCTTTGTTTACCTCTCTTGAGACAAAGCCATGGATAGTACCACTCCAGCAAAGCTCAAACAAGCCATAATAGCACTGCCTGGAGTGATCAGACAATGTCACATCTCTGAAACAACCTGAGGCGAAGGCAGAGTGGAGTTCTTTGGGCAGATTTTTTAAAAGTAAAAGTCAAACCCGATGAGCTTCAACCAGGCCCAGGTAATAAAAAGAGAGAAAAAAGAAAGACAAATACAAGAATTTCAGATTCCGAAATTTTATTGGAAGGGGACTCTCCTTCCAAACGTTAAAATCTCCTCCTCCACCTCCCTTCCTAGCACCATCCTAGTTGGCACTTAACTTTTCTCAGGAAGATAGTTAGGCTAAATTTTCATTTGTCTCATAGAACTGCTTTTGTATTTATACAATTTATCATCAGGCAGTATGTAAGTTATTTCATACAACCACATCAATGTATAATATGCCAAGAAGAATAGGATTTTTCGCTATGGAAATGGATCAGTCATTCTCCCTATATTTCTTATGGGAACATTGGTATGTGTCCAAGGATCAGGACTGGATTAAGTACAAAAACCAAGGTACCACTGTACTCAAGTACCCTGATAACAGCAAATCGAAGATGTATTAAAGAAGTTAAATGTAGAATACTTCGAGCACATGCAGCATTTCACAGAAAGAAGATTA